CCTTTCTAATCACACCCGGAGTCACACCACTTCGCCCAGCGCTTGGCTGCAGGAGAGGAAGTCCACCTGGTGAGAGGCCGAGGCGTAGCGGTGGGCTGCAGTGTGAGGAGCGCGTGTGTTTGTTTGTGCGTGATGTGCTGGGGGGGTGAAGGTGGGTGGGGGGGCAGAATGTTTGAATTGGTTCTTTTTACTTCAGGTATTTGACATTCCTGCTGGATGTTTGTTTCTCGTCCTTCTCATCGCGACACGTCCTCACATTTCTGTGCACATTCCTGGTGAGCCGCCGCGCTTTGCACAAAAGGAGTTTTAGTTCAAAACCAATTCAGAGGAGAAAAGCTGAAAGCGCGCTTCTTTCTTTTAAAGAAAAAAGCAGTTATGTGGCAAAAAGTAAATTTTGCTTAGAAAAGTCCAGCAGAGGTCGAGTGTCTCGCTACACAGGTGTGTTAATTCTAAACAACATATTAAATATACAGACGGCTTCATGTTGTTTTCTGTTGGACCCGAAACCAACAGGGACCGTATCTGAGCCGTGCATGTCCTCTTCCTTGTCCTCTTCCTCTTCCCACAGAGCTCCGTGTTAAATACATCACTGCTCCCCTCCGTGATGTATTTCTTCATTATGAACTCAAACACTGGAGTTCACCCTGAAGCCATCAAACACTCACAAGAGCACCAAATGAGGATTATTCTGCCGCAGAAAATCACAGCAAGAGCCTCTGTGAACCCCTTGATGATTAACATTTGCTCAGAAACTACAGTGACGAGCTGTTTTGTAGAATACTGACCTTTTAAGAAACAGTGTATATATATATGTGTGCATATGTGTGCATGTGTTCATTTGTACAACCGGGTAGGACACGTGCAGCAACAGCGCTGCACAGCGACTCTTGTATTGATCACGGTTGTTTCTCAGAGACGCTGCAGCCTGCGCGGTGCGATTGAAATACTTTGTCCTCCCTTTCAGGGAAGCTGTGATGCTCTTGCAACGTTCCTGAATGTTGTGGCCTCAGTCCAGAGAAGAAGATGGATTCACCATTCATTAAATGCACTGAATCCAGGTGAAGTTCCTGATTTGGAGTCAAAGATTTGCTACGTGAGGTAGAAAGCAGCACTTTGAGGTTTTAGATGCTTATTTATGACAATACGTTTTTCATCCAGGAGATGTTCCCTGAATAAGGATCTTATTTGGATTTAAAGATTTGTTCACTGTCTGGAGGTGAAATGTGAAATCACAAAAACAATATTTTGTCCCTTGAATCAATGAATATTGGTGATTATCATTTGGGCCACGACCCAGAAAGAGAAAATGATTTTTACTATTTCCCTCCTTGAGACGGCCCACGAAAGGCGGTTGAGGTGTTCGGCGATGGAATCGAGGAGTCAGCGGGATACGGCGAGGAGGAGGAAGAGGAGGAGGAGGAAGAGGAGGCCATGACCTCTTCGCCCCACCTTCACATGGGCCCGATGAAATGTAAACGCTCAGACGACGCTTTGCACAAACTGGTTATTCCAGACAAAACCAGTGGGTTTTATTTTTCCAGGAGATGCTTTTCATCTTTTTGTTCTCCAGTAGTGAGTGATGTGCTTTTCCTTCTTTCATAAGCTCCATAGCTTTATATAATTAGACGTGTTAATTTATTTTTAGCACCACCAGAGAGAGAGAAGAGATGGGTTTAAAATGACACGGCTGATGTGCACACACACACACACACACACACACACAAATGTAACCGAGGCCGTGAATATTTATATATTTGTGTGCGCAGGGTTGGCTGCCTCCAGTGGGACGGAGGTGTTGGTGGGTGGAGGGAGATGGGAGTCGGGGAAAGATGGAGGGGAAAGAGAGGGTCCCTCAGGCGTGTCCGGGGCCCTGATGGCTCCCCTGACAGCCTCCCCCCCCTCCCTCCCCCGTAATGGTCTCCCTCTCTCTCTCTGAGTGCTGTGAAATTGCAGGCCGGCGCTCTACAGCTGAGGACTCGGAGGAGACAAACGGCCTTTTAATTCAGAGCGTGGAGAGGTGACGGGGGGGGGGGAGGCCCTAGGGGAGGGCTACCAGTCAGACATCCATCATACTAACCTCTCCCCTGGGACCGGCCCCGCCAAAGAGGTGGGTGGGGGGGGGGGACGGGGGGGGGGCCGGAGGTAGTCTTGGGTGTACATGTGCGCGTGTGCGCGTTCGGGGCGACACCGCATGCCCGCTCAGGTGTCCGGGCTGTCAAGGTGCGGAGTGCCGGGGAGTGCGGGGGGGGGATTGTATAGGCGGAGCAAAAATCTATGTGTGTGTGTGTGTGTGTGTGTGTGCATGTTTTCCTTTCCATTTCAGCTCAGAGTGCACACGTATATATATATATATATATATATATATATATATATATATATATATATATAATACTATCTCTATCTATATATTTCTATGTATTTCTTCTTTTCCTTTCGCGCAGCAACAAGAACCACAAGTAAGAAAACTACTTCAACCGGAAAAGAAGCTTCTTCTTTTTCTCGTTTCTGAAGAACGCCGTCAGTCGTTGCAGACGCTGACCCGTTCCTTTCCTTGTGCGAGCGCCGGTTGCTGAAGGGACGCGGCGGGTTCAGGGTCTGTGGAACGTTTGTTGAGACGGAGACATTTGGCGAAGGCCTCTCGGCGAAGAAAAGGGAACCCGATGCTCACATGTGGGTCCTTGAGAAATATGTGTTGTGGTGCCGCGAACTGCTGGGGCGTGTAGCAGCAGAGCGCCGACCCTCCGGGCTGCATAAACACATACACGGTGATTATGCTCCGTTTCTAAAGATTCATCTTTTTGAATCTCTTATGAATCGTCTTCCGTGACGCTGAAAGTCTCAGTGATCTTCATTTAAAGAGCCGTCCTTCAGCACCGTGCGGCTTCTCTTAAAAATTGTTTTGTGAGGGTGCGAACGAGACGGCTGTTCAAGACATTCCAGCTTCACTGTGACACCAGTTAGAGTTTAAAGAATTGATCATATGTTTCATTCTATGGACCGACACTCCTGTGTTGAACATATCCAACGTATAATGAGAGAAACATTTAAACATTATGAAGGCATCCGTCAGTTTGCGTGTTGTGACGGACAGACAGATCCTGCTTTGACGTGTCATGTTTTACCCCCCTGAGTAATCAAGGGTTTTATTTACAAACATGAATCTATGAAACCTGGAAAATCTTCCCTGGGAGAAGCCTCAAGGGGAAGTGAAGCATAAAGTCCTTGAAAATGGAAACGTCATGAAAAGCGTGGAAGGACTGATTCGTTCCCTATAGGAGGACGAGGACGTCTCGGGGTCGACGTCGAGGTCACAGCTAAGCCGAGCTTCCAATCAACCGGCGCGACGACGGGTCAGAACCCGCCGTACAGACCGTGTGAAGACAGAAAGAAAGAGCCTGTTGCTGCCTTTCAGCACCGCGGACAGCTCCCCCCTGCCTCACCACAGGTGAGTGTGTGGCGGCTTTAAGGTGTGTGTGTGTGTGTGTGCGTGTGCGCGCACAGCCCAGCCAAAGCAAACACGTATTGTACTTTTTCTTTATCCTTTCGCACAATGCGACACGTCCACGTTCAAACAGGGCGGCCTCACATGCTCTTTTTCCCACCCTTGTTTCTCAGGCTGAAGGCCGCCGGGTCACGAGCTCGGATAATTGGGGCGACTCATTCAGCCCGTCGGCACAAAGGCCCCGAGTAGCCAGGTTAAAGCAGCGCGGCCTGGAGGACGGACGCACACTCTGTGTGATGGAGAAACTCCTATTGTATAAATACATTTACATGGAGACGTGAGGAGGCCAAAATGAATAGGAAATGACGAAATAGAGAAAAATACATGAGGTGGTGTTCGAAGTTGGTGGTTTGATGCTTCTGTGCCCTTCAACAACACAGGGAAGAGAGTGTGTGTAGGGGGGGTTTAATTTAAAGTAATGTAATGTTAAAGATTTGGATCCCTTTTATTTGGCTGATATGATTTAGATAAATAGATGGACAAAATATAACGTTGTTTGACACTTAAACAATATAGATGTATTTATATACATATAAACAGATATTCATATTTGTATAAATAAATATAAATAGATTAATGTGTAGAGATACATAAATCGTATTTGATATATCTATTAATCTCTTTCCAGGAATAGACATATATAATCTGTCTTTAAAATAACTAAGAGCCCCGTTGTTTGTCGGTTCCTCTCTAAATGTTGTCTTGGTTGATCTATAATCGTGTGAAATGAGTCAAAATTCACACCTAATGTCATTTAAATGAAGCATCATTAACCCGGGAAGGCAAAAAAAAAGCCCCTCCGCCATCCTCTAACATGCATTAGCGTATCGCATGTTTACTTAACTGCAAACTAACACAAAAAAAAAAAACAGCCTGTTGGTAAATATTGAAATTCCCCTTTTCGATCCGCGGCCGCTGAGTGTGAAGCGCCGGCTTCTCCCTATTGATGAGCTGCGGATAATCCATCGCATTTCCCTGTAAATAGCTTTCTGCATGAGAAAAGCCCCCCCCCCATAACACCCCCCGGCTGAGAGCAGCCACAGTGTGATGCACGGAGCGTTTTGTCACAGGGCCATTATGAGGCCTCTGTAGCATCAGCGCCTGTTCGGCTACTCCCACATTCATGGGCTCGTTATACCGGTACGTCCTAACCCGCGGACCCCTTGGTGGACTTTCAACTTTACGGTTCCGATGCTGCAGGGAGAGGGGGGGGGGGCAGCGTTACGGGGGGGAGAGGGGGGGTGGTGGTCTCCCCCCCCCCCCCTCACAAAGTCAGCGAATTGCCCGTGAAAAACCTTCCGCACACACCCACAGGCCCCCGGTTTGTGATTTCAGGGGTTCGCTCGGAGGCTACAGCGATGAACGCGTAACCATGACAACCGCCTTGTGATTGGTTCTCCCTGAACGAGGGAGGAGGAGGAGGAGGACGAGGCGGGGAGGAGGAGGGGGGGGGGGGAATTAACAAGGGCGTCATCCAATGTGACGCCGCGTCGCTCTGGCAAAAAAAAAAAAAACAGCAACGTGACAAGCAGCCACTGTGGTGCGAGAGCGGCGGCGCGAGGTGAGCCCGAAAGACATGACTGGACCCCAAAACACGGCGCGGGCTGACAGGCGGATGAAATATCAGAAATAGTCCTGTTAAAAGAAAAAAAAACCCGCGTTTGGATGATGGCGTTCGCGGCCGTGCGCCTGTGACATGTCCGTGACGCAGACGTCCAGAGCCGCTCCTCTGGGTCTTGGATGGTGACGGCGCCCGGAGACCGAGCAGGACTATACGCCGCGTCTCCTCGCCGCCTTTTGGCTTTTGGTTGGCTTTTTTTTTGGGGCGGGGGGGGACCTGGAGCTTCTTGGAACTTTTTGCCTGACTGCACGGCTCTCTGCCGCCCACCTCTCTTCCCCACAAAACGCTCCTTACACGCCGCCCCCCACCCCCTCGCCAAGACGTTGTTCCGCGTAGACCCGGGTCGTCCCAGTCCGAGCAGCGCAGTCCGTGTGGGAAGGTCGGCTCTCTGCGCCCTGCAGGCCGGAGACATGATGGTCCACTGCGCCGGGTGCGAACGGCCCATCCTGGACCGGTTCCTCCTCAACGTGCTGGACCGAGCGTGGCACGCAAAGTGCGTCCAGTGCTGCGAGTGCAACTGCAACCTCACCGAGAAGTGCTTCTCCAGGGACGGGAAGCTCTATTGCAAAATGGACTTTTTCAGGTAACGAGAGGGAAGGACAGGGTCCGAATTTGGGGTTCCTTCAAATTGGGGCTTTGATTTCAGTCACCACGCTTAAGATTGTTTTTAAAGCAATCTGTGTATTGATTAAAATGTTGAAATACATCAGGAGAAATTAAAAAAAAAGGACAAGCAATCACAATGTGGCCCACAATCAAAATAATTTACTGGCACACGGGTTAAAATATCCAGTCCTGGATTAGAACAAATGTTTATTATTTTTTGTTTATTATGTTTTTAGAAAAAAATAATATGTCGAATTAATTTAGAACATTTATTTTAAAACGCAGGGTTTTCAAACTGAAATACAATCACATGGCATTTTAATAAAGGACTCCTACAAAAAAAAAAAAACATTAAAATGTATTTCATTGTCCAGCCACACTATTATTATTTTTACAGCAATTTTCCAGATGCACACAACACTTTTTTTCAAACACCCATCAGGCCATTAACCGGTTCGCAGCCCCTAAAAGAAAAAGAAAACGTGCCTCCGGTAATTGAGTGATAAGTGAAGCCCTTGCTTGTCCCATCGCACTCTCTTAGCATCATTTACATTCGTACGTGTCAGTTATTTTCTCCCAAATTGTCTAATGACATGTGCGGCGCATTAGCTTTTGTCCGCGCGGGCCGTCCGTGGCCTCGCGCGGCCTCGGCCGTCGCGTTGCTGCGGGTCCATCAAGCGGGGGATTCAAATGGGCGGCCATTAGCAGGCGAAACAGTAATCACCTTAATATGTCCATTTGTTGTGTAAGTAGAGTTGTGCCCTTTCGCTTGGGGTGGGGGGGGACATGCATGTGAAAAGAGGGACAGGGGAGCGATACCTTTGCAAATGGGGAGACAAGCCTACATTAGTGTTAAAACAATGCTCCACAAAAGGAGTGCTTGCTTTCACCCAGAGGCTTAACCCCCCCCCCCTCCATTGGCTGACTGTAAACCCAGGTAGAAAAGGCCCATAGTGACCCCCCCCGAGACATCTGCTCAAACTCCCCATATTCACATAAGCAACGATGCAGGTGATTCCCCAAATAACACTCAGGTGTGTTTGATTTCACGCCCCCCACCCCCCGACATGGAGTAAAAACAACACCTCTGCTTCCAAATCCAAAGGGGGATTCTGCAGATTTTTTGTGGCGTGTGGGGTGTGTGTGTGTGTGTGGGCGGGGGGGGTATTTGTGTATCAAATTGATGAGTCCTCTTCCCACTCGGTATTTAAGCGGGTGAATATGGATTAAGAGAAGATTTCCACGCTAAAATGCTCCCACTCTGCTTAATCCTGTAATATATCCGCGGCTACAATGTGTTGATTGTCACTAATGCGCTGCGCGCGGGGTTATTGCACGAGCACCTCCATCAAAATAACGAGCACGCGGGGTTTCAGAGAGCCTCCCAAAAAAAAGGGAAAAGAAGCAAAATTGGATTTAAAATGTTCGATTTTATTATTTCCGTTGCAATTATCCGATTTTACTTACATCATAAATATTGGGAAATATTTTGTTTATTTGTGTTGATTCCATGTTTATTAATTACCTGATATCATACTGATTTATACTGATTAATACTTTTTATGATTATGCGGGCTTTTATTAGAATGCTGAAAAATGACAACGTTTTTTAATTCTACGTTGATATTCAATATCATAAATATTATTTTGGAATATTATTATATTCGAAATAACAATATTTCATGTGCATCATAATTTGAATTCAATATATACTGCAATTCTTTATTTATCTCTAGCTGTTGTGTTGCACATTTTACTATTATTATATGCACTTTTGTAGATATAAATTGCCAATTATAACAAAACCAATGACGATAATTATACGAGTTCGTGTTTGGGCCTAAACTGAATATAATAAACATAATCTTAAAGTCATTGTTTTGTTTGGTGCAGGCGGTTTGGCACGAAGTGCGCGGGCTGTCTGCAGGGAATCTCGCCGAACGACTTGGTGCGCAAAGCGCGCAGCAAGGTGTTCCACCTGAACTGCTTCACCTGCATGGTGTGCAACAAGCAGCTGTCCACGGGAGAGGAGCTCTACGTCATCGACGAAAACAAGTTCGTGTGCAAAGAAGATTACTCGACCTCCGGGGCTATTAAGGAGGTCAACTTGAACTCAGGTAATCAGCGCGATGACGCGACCTTTTGTGTTTATTTATATGCGTGTGCATGCGTGAGTGCATGCGTGTCCATTTTATATAAATGCATGTGAGGGACAAAAGCAGGGCGACGCTGTGTCGCTTCAATGGTCCCGTCTGGATTTGTCGGAACATTTCCAGCAGTCCGTGGAGATCTTTTTCCTCTCACAACAACCTTGTCAGATGAACGGTTTCAATGTTTACCTCCAGGAGACAACGGCTCTCTGTTGTTGTTCGCCGCGACCCGCCGGGATGAGCGTTGACCGCCGTGTGTTCAGAAACCGATCACGCCCCCACGTCCGTTCACATGTACATTTACATTATTTCTATGACGTAAATATGTGCGCATTATATTTATGCATTATGTGTTTGCTTAAAATCAGATTTTTTTTACAGCTTTTTCGCTTTTAAGGCATCAACTCCGCACACAAAACCATTACACGTAGTGTTTATTAATCAATTTTAATGTTTAAAAGAGGTACAGAGTACATTAAAATACGTTTAAAAAATAACGAATTGTGTCATATTTTGGCTCTATATTCAGTGATCCCAAGCCTAATTAAGTACCCCTCCTCTCTGACATTTCGGATGGTGACCTTCCTCTTGCTTGCCCCCCCCCCCCCTCCCCTCCCCCCCCCCCCCCCCCCCCCCCCATCAGTGTCGTCGTGTACAGATAGGAGTTTATCGCCGGATCTGCAGGACCCAATACAGGACGACATAAAAGAGACGGAACATTCCCGCGTCTCTCGGACAAGGAAACAAACAAATTTTGCGAAGCTGGAGGCGATATTGGGGCCCAAGGGGGGGGGGCGCGGGACCACCTTAAGGCCCAAGAAAGTGGAAGCGTTAAAGGCCGCTTGGGGGCCCCCCCGCGAAGCCCCCCCGGCACTCCCGGGAGAAATTGGCCCAGGAAAGCGGACTAAACATGCGGTTCATCCAGGTAAGAGGCAGCCCCCCCCCCCCCCCCCACACCACACACACACACACTGAAATGTTCTTAAATGAAGCGGACGCGCTCGGTGCAGCGCGTGGACCCGCGCGTTCTGCAGGTGCACGTCTGTGTTGTGTCCGTGGTCGTGGAATTTGCCTTTAAAGGGATTGACGGAAAACTACTTTTAATTCTCTGCACAGTTGAAAAGATTTGTCAGTTTGAATATATGTTTAGACACGTCCCTGTGAACCATTTCAGCGATTCTGTTTTTAATATTTAAAAGCGCACAGTTACGTTCCTGTTTCCTGTCACGATGTTTTGCATTTTAATGCTTAAACACGTTACTTAAAAAATAAGCTATATAAATATATTATAAATGCTGCTCACTCCACTATATTGTGTTATTGATATTCCTATAAAAAAAACCATTCCTGTTTGCATCCAATTTCCCACACTGCCTCATCCAAACCTGCAGGCGCGCGTTTATTCTCTGAAATTGGGATCTAGTAATCCAATTTACCGAAACGTGGCTACAATAAACAAAAAAGAACATCATTTATGTTGTGCAGCCAGCGGTTTATTTCAGTAATCAAACGTGTTGCGCAGCCATGAAATCAGCGAAAGAAAGGTTAGCGTGCTGTTTGCCAAAGGCGAGAGAGGAACCCCAAACAAGGTCTGTGCAGAATAACAGCAGCTTGTTTTGGGCCACTGTCTGTCTGCTCACACGCACACACACACACACGCACACGCGCACACACGCGCGCGCTGTCCGGGTGCAGACTGTGTCAGGATGATTAGCACCATCTCTGCCAACTGTGATGTGGCTTTTTGTGCACTCACTGTAATTATCGCTGATTTCACACATTTACATACCACCCTCCCCCTTTTCCCTCACCTCTCTGCTCTTACTCACTTCCAGCCTGTTTGCTCCGCCTCATCTATATCATAAACTGCGGGCTGCAGTGCGTGCCCGCGCGCGTGTGCGTGCGTGCGTGCGTGCGTGTGTGAGAGAGAGAGCGCTGCATCAACAGAGCTCAAACAAGCAGCCAATAAATCAATGAATCAATGAGTCAATGAGTCAGGCAGTCCATCCATCTCTCCCCCTCTCTCCCCCTCTCTCCCTCCCTCTCTCCTTGTTTGCGTGCGCGTGTTTGTGTTTGCGTTTGCGTTGCTCGGAGCCAAAATGGAGGCCGCCCGCGTTTCGT